ATTGGATAATTTTCTTTATGTATATGTTTATGCAGCTATGCAAGTTTGTGTGGATATACCCTAAAGCGGGGAGCACAGACTCTTGCATAATGCATAAGGCCGGAATCAGACTATGCATTGAAGATTGAGATTAAAGATTAAAGATTTAAATTTCACCAATGAGGACAAAGAAATTTTGGTTCCTTTTGTTCTGATTGGTCAAATTTCAATTTTTCAATCTTTAATCTCATTCTAATACATGAGGCATAAGAAAATGAACCAATCAAAGTGTTTTATTTCCTTCTTTTTCGTGAAATAAAGGACTCTAATTAGTTGATTTTCTTATGCCTTACTCCGGATCTACAATAGGTTTTTAAGCCTTAACCTATAAGGAATGGACGAATCACAATCAATTATTCTCCTCGCATTCGACTGTAGTTGGTCAATTTCTTACGACTTAAGGCTTAAAACACCTATTGTAGATCCGGACTTATGAGCCCATAATGCTGGATTCACACTGAACGCAGCAAGAGTCAAGGCCCGTCTACAATACACGGAGTAAGAAGTAAGAGTAAGAAATTGACCAATCACAGTCGAATGTGAGAAGAATAATCGACTGTGATTGGTCAATTTCTTACTCTTACTTCTTACTCTGTGTATTGTAGACGGGCCTTCAAGCAGTGGAGCAACAACCTACCAGCGAAGCGATATTTTTTACGCCACTGTAAATATCGTCACGTCGGTTGCTACTCCGCTGCTTGAAGCTTGCTGTATCCAGTGTGAATCCAGCATAAGAATCTGTGCTTCCCGCTTAGCTGAGTTTCCACTGAGAGCGTCACACGTCGCGTCGTCGAAGGAGAGAAAGAGAAGGGATGTGTATTTACATAAACTTATCACTTTCTCTCTTTCATGACGCGACGCGTGACGCGCTCAGTGAAAACGTACTATTAGCCCGGATCCTCATACGGGCAACAGCGCTTCGACACAGAGCTCTGATTGGTGAAAAGCCGGTTGTGGGGGTAAAATTTACCCTCATCACCCGTTTTTCACCAATCAGCGTTCGGTGTCAAAGCGCTGTTGCCCGTATGAGGATCCGGGCCAAGTCCGTTGCAGTTTGGCTGGAGTCCCATGAGGTGTATTTACCGCGTATCGCGTAACCGCGTAACCAATCAGAAGCGATCCGCTGTTGTGATTCTGCGTTTTACTGATTATTGATTGGTTTACGCGGATACGCGATACGCGGCAAATACGCTTCATGGGACTCCACCCTTAGTTGATTCTTGCATTCTGACCCGGATCGAACCGTCGGTGTAAACTAGGCCATTGTCCGAGTGGAGCCCCCTCACCACGTCAAGATGGCACGCCATGGAGGGGATTGCTAAAATTAAAATAATCTAATAGAAAGTTACTAGTCAATTCTGTTGAACAGCAAATGCGATTGATCAGTTTCAATGTAACAATCAAGTTTTAAATTAACCGTAGTTGGTGAGATCGATTTACGTGAATCCATAATTCAATTTTTTATATGTTCTAACCTAATATTCGAAAAATAGTGTATAACATATTTAAATTATTTAAATATGTTATATTTTCAATGGACAGAAAATATTTTTAAAATTTAGTACAAGTTTAAAAAAATTTTATAAAATAACAAATAAAAAATTAAACAATTTATAGGAAAAAGAGGAAGTAAAGAAGGTGAAAACTGTACCTCAAGAGAAGATACTCTCCACTTAAAGCAAGACGAAATTATCTACTTTTGGTATGTTTGATCAGCTTAATTTAATTTAATTGATTTAAATTATACTAATAAACATTTTTTCCCTTGGAGACGACAATGAAGAACGAATGTTCGCAGCCGTCACAATTTCAAAAATAAGTAATATGGAAAATATATATAAATAGGATATCCAATATATATGTCGTGATACAAGAAATTTTGATTTCCGTCCTTATTTTTATTATTAATCAGTTATAAATACAAAATAAAAACATGCCTTCAAAGTACGGATTTTTATTGCTGCTTGTTTGCATAGGATGTGTTTTGTTATTTATTACATTCATGGAGAAAAGTTTATGGTCAAAGAGAGAGATTCCGAAAATAAATCTAATACAGCTTGGAACAATATATGAAGTAACCGACACATCAGAAATTTTTAGAATCATAATTGAGCCACCATGCAATGCTACTTTTGTAATATGGATTGTCACATCTTATGCGGGTGAGTCTTCAGCAAGGAGTGCTTTACGACGAGCTTATACAGATGAAGAGTTGCAGGCTTTAGGAATCAGAAGAGTATTTTTACTCGGTACATTAAATGATTATGCCGAAAGGAAGACACATATGCTGCAAAATGCATTGTTGGATGAGTCACAGCGATTCAATGACTTGCTTCAGGGAGATTTTTTAGACACTTATAGAAATTTAACTCGCAAGCACCTGATGGGCCTTCAGTGGGCAGCAAATAATTGCAAAGATGTTAAATATATTATGAAAATGGACGATGATATTATTGTAAATATATATGGCATATTAGAGAAATTACACTCAGGTATGATAGAAAAGAATTCTTTGACTGGTTATATTATGAAGAATATGATTCCTGTTCGAGAACCAGCCAACAAATGGTATGTGAGTAAAGCGGAATATGCGGATAATATTTATCCTGACTTTGTCTCTGGCTGGCTGTACATCACGCATCCGCAAATAGCAAGTCGATTGATTAATTACGCCTTGTCTTCCCATGATTACTTTTGGATAGACGATGTGTTTGTCACTGGTATCCTCAGACAAGCTCTAAACATAAACATTCAAAATATCAGTGAGTTATATACGACAGATTATAGATATTTGGAATGTTGTATAAAGGGAAAAGCAAATCTACTGAAATGCGAATTCTTGGCTGGTCCTAATGGCGGCGATACAGAGTTGCAAGTGAAATTCAAGGAATTTGCAAAATTTTGCCATGCAAATTGTTCTATTCGCAAGGAAAGTAATCTTGTTGGCAAGACCTGCGTGATGGCGCACAAGGAGCCAAAATTATATAAAGGTGCTGTGCAAATAAATCCAGTCAGAATTTTATAAATAATGGAGGAAAGGGTAGGTAGAATGAGATTAACAACACTTTAATAAATTGTACATTATTTTATTACCAAGAAAACATTTTCTATTTATTATAATATATAAAATTTGTACAGTATATTTTACACGTTATTATATAAAGTTTTACAGAATTGTAATTATTTATTTTACCTATCTTTTTATGCGTCAATAAATTCTTATGATAGTATTATATCACAGTTATATATATAATATAGATCTTGATGATTGAGAGAAACATTTATTTTATCTTTTAGTTATCATCGAAAGAGTAAACCAAATTAAAAATAATTATTTATTATAGATAAAAAAATTAAAATTAAAATCTAAAAAAGCAAATTACATTTCCATAGGTTTTTTGAATATATTACACACAAGAGATACAGATTATAACAAATTTGCAATTTTCACAAATGAAAATTAAGTCGCAATTTTATTTACTTTAGATAACTGGAAGTACAGATAATATCTTCCGATTCTATCAACAAAAATATTTTAACATAATTACAACCTTGGCCAAAATATGTATGTAGTTCAATGTCCACATTTTGTGGACATAGAGGCGCTTCAAAGTAAAGTAACAGCTAAATCCCAGGCATGACTGCTCTCAGGATTCTCTTTGATTATAATAAAAATGATATGCAATTGTTATAAAAATTATATTTATTTTATAACAATTTTAGCATTTCGTTTTCCTTCAGATTTTATTTTATTATCTGTTTAAAAAAAAAATTAAACACACTTATATTTACGGCCAACGTTGTAGATATTTGTATTAATTTTCTATTAAGGCTCCTAACTACTCAGCCAAGAACTCTGCGTTGACGGTAGCGACACAGAATCAGATGGCGGTCTAGCGAAATCGGTAGTTACAAACACTTGCTCGCCTGCGAGCACACAGACATGGGATCGTGCTTGTATGTTACAGCGCCACGATAAATGGCCGAACTTATAGGCGTGGAAAAGTAACATTTTGACCAGTTTTGACGACAAAATTTGTGTACAATGCCATTTCGTTATTATTTGCGTAATTGTGAAAATGTGACTTGTTTCGTACTTCTCAAAGTCGTAATTTTCGATGACAACTAAAGTTATCTTGGAATTTTATACATAAAAGTGTATATTTTAACTCGTTTCAACAGTTGTGAAACGGTGTGTTTCTGCTAGAATATAGGCTCACTTTATGAGTCTTTTACAATCATTTACTGACTATCAAGGGAGGAAAGGACAGTTGTCATCGATTTTTACAAGTGTTTTAAAGCGATCCCGTCATTTCGTTTCATCCAAATCGTCTTTGTTTACAAATAGCATTGTGCGTAAATTTAGGTGTCATTCCTCGCTTCTAACGTCACGATTCCAACATGACCGCCGCGACTAGTCAGGAGCCTTAAAATATTTAATTTTAATACATCGAGAAGATAATATACAGAGAAGCTGTTATCTAATTTTAAAGTAGAGATTTCTTTTTTGGTAACTGAAAGGTTGCACCTATGCATAAATGATCGCTACCTACTACAAAATTTGGTATTCGGGGTAACTCGGTACATTGATTTACTGTAGGTAGAGCATATTTCTCTAAAGGCTGGATGTTACTGTAAAATATATAATCCACTGTGATCCACTCGTCCTGATGTGTTGTTGCTTCTTTCTCACCATGGGCGCCTACATGTGTATAAATGCTACGCATGTCAAAGGGATGCGTTAGAGTGCCGGACGAGAATCTCGCGGAATGACCCTTCACAATCTCGATAACTTGCGTGCAACCGATATCACTGTTTGCGCTCTGTTGTAACACATTCGTATTACAAGGCGTGGGCATATTTTCATCTAGTTTTTGAAAACGTGATTCGCTGTTTTCCAGCTGGAAGAAATGAATAGAGAAATATCTTAAAATACAATTGGAAAAAAAGATTAAAAGATTGGAAAAAAATAATAGAAAATATAGGATGCATAATTAAAACTACACTGGTTTCGGAATCTTTTTCTCTCTTTTCGAAAAACTTTAGATATAAGCATGAATATTGATGGTATTCATCGAAATATATTAATCAAAATAAATTTTTTAATAGGCGAAAAAAATTAAGATCTTATATACATACATAATCCATACAGCACAGATCATTCTAGCAATATTGCAGCAACATTCGCAACGTCTCAATAATGTTGCAGTAACATTACGATGTTGCTGCAAGCTTCTGCGCTGTATAAGAATTGTTATATGTTCAAGAACGTACCATAACTTTACCGGTGCCTTCTCTTCGTAGTCTTTGAGTCAGAATATTAAAGTGTTGACAGTTGTCGGTAACGCATAATCGCGGTGGTATTAATGAATTGGACAGAGAACGATATTGAGATGGCTCTAAACTTCGTCCTTTCCCATAATACTTGAACGAACCTTTTGTTAGGAACTTATAAACGCCCGTGAACGGCTCCAAATTGAAGTCGCCTGCGAGTATGATTGGTAAATACTTCGGGCCCGTTCTGCAAAGTAATAATATATTTAATATTCGCATAAAAATCTCTTACCAGACGTAATGAGCAAATAATTTTTCAAAGGCGTGTCCTCACGTCGTGTTTTCGATGAATGCAATCCGTTCTATTTCCGCTAACAAAAGCTGTATCTGCGCTAATCGTACGTCGTTGCGTTTCGGATTATATAACAAGTGAGTAGTAGCTACCACGAGTTGCGCTTCCGGATTGTCTTTGAGGGCCAGTTTAGCGATTATACCGACGTTATCTCTATTTAGAATCTCGATTCCGGGTTGATATAACTCTACCTTAGCATAATCTAATAAAATAAATTCATTGGAGCGATATAACAAAAGTAAACCATCCTTCTTGTCGTTGGTTCTCTTTTTATACAGATATTCATATCCATGCTGTTTGAATGGAGCCACGAAATCTAGTAGATGTTCCTCCTGCATTTCCTGAAGGCATATTATCTGGAATATTCGACAATATAATAGCAGATATTCTTTAAGCATCTAGTTTCAGGTTTGACAGCATTAAATGCCAAAGAATAAATATGTACATTTGCCTCCGCCTCGAATATTTCTTGTATCACAAGGGATTTTCGTGTTTTCCAGCTCAGGGCTTTCTTGTTATGATTCATGTATAGATACGAGTGATCTTCCAACAGATTTTGTGCCAAGATATTAAAGGACAAGAGTTTCAATATGAAAAAATCTTCCTTATTATTGGGTGATCTATCTAAAAATGTTTAAAAAATTATGTTCTTTGGGCGGTAAGAACAATTAGGTAAATAATAATAAGTAAATCTAGACAAATATGTGAATACAAGCAGAAATGCGCCCTATACAGTCAAGGCTAGATCTCTTAGGCCAGTATTCATAGTCAGTTCTTATATGCAAGACCATCACAAACCAATAAGAGAGCCGTATTAATATCTTAAGACATTACTTAAGACAGTCTTGAAATAAGAACGAAGTATAAATACCGGCCTTAATATTTCTTACTTAATTTTTTTTTTATAAATACATTTTCCCATTCTACAAACTGTGTTAAGTAAATAGTGTTATATATATTTATACATCCCTTTGAAAATATGTTTAAACAAGAAAGAGTGACTTTTACCTTTCTCAATTCGTTTCCACTTTCTTATAATCTTGTATCTTTTTTTGTCTATATAATTTCCATAGGTATCAGCTGCACATACGTTAGCTTTAACATTATGTGTCGTATCTGCAAAACCAGTCTGACAATAGAGTAGTGCATTTGCTAGGTCGCACATTGCAGTAGTGTTGCTTTTGTTGTAGCAGGTGTCAAAGTAAGGCTCCATTTTGACTTCTGTACACTTCTGATGGGACGGTGAATTATCCATAGAGGCAACAGGCTCCAGGTAATTGGAAATCAAAGCTTTCCAGGTAAGACTCTTACACAAATTTTTTAAGAGTAATTGTTGCCAAGTTGGCTCGGGTGCACAAAAGATCTGAAAAGGAATCATACAATAAACAAGATTATAAACATATAAGGCTAAACGCGTATGATCAACCTTCCGATGTACAATACCAGTACTGAAAATCTAATATATAAAATTTACTTATTACTGAATTAATTATTAAATATTGCTGCTATAATTTTATCTGCTTGCAATCAATATTGATTTTTCAACTACTTCTTTTTCTTACAATATCTCTTTAATCTAAAAAATGTTAATACTTTATAATGCTTTTGACAAAAATAGAAAATATATTTTTGTCTCTATTAGTGAATCGCCTATTAATGTGCCTCCAATTTGTGTGCCTATCATTTGACTCATTTTAACATATAGTTACTAAAACAGGTAATAAATTTAAGCTAATTGTTTATGTTAATATTACATAAATCATTATTTCAATTATATTTATTTCAAAGTACACTCATAATACAACGTTCTCAGCTCCAATACAGGTCACATTAATAGGGACAAGCTTAAAATCTTGTGGTACGTATTACTAGATTCACATAAATTTCTCATATCTTTCGAAAAATATTTAAAATACTTTAATACTCAAAAAAGAATATCTCACAGTATCATATGCATTAATAATTTAACTTAAAAAAAAATATATTTTTTCTTATTTATTTGTGCTAGTTTTCTTTATAACTTATCGAAATACAAAAGCACACTAATAGAGACAGTCATAGTAATTGGAACAGTTACCCTAGCAGTGTATACTGAAACACAGTTAAAAAATGAGGAAAAAGGAAATTTAGAAGATAAAAAAAATTAATATTAACTGAACTTCATAAAATCGTACGTTTTTGACATATCTGAGCCATGCGTTTGCGATCGAGAGTACAAATAGAATTCCTTCTCGAGAAAAGATCAGCGTTCTAACCTAACAATAACCGTCGCGCCAAATAATAACGGCAGAGTTAAGGTCAACCGCGGGACTCTCGGCGAGGGCGGGAGGGGGAAGGATAAGAGATGCGAGGGCCGCGTTTGTGCGGGAGATGCGCTTACCTTTCGCGATTGCAGAAACGTTGTCGTCCGCACGTTACATGCTATGTTTAGCA